TTCCTTTTGTTATATAAACTTTTAATTGTCGAAATGACTTCTATAAACTTCCAGTTAAAACTAAAAGAACTTCTAGACAAGATAGTAAAGGAAATTGGGAAGAAAGGACTATTCATTTAAATATCTAGGTATTTTTTAACAGAGGACAAAAAATGTGGCACCGAAATCCGAACATGGATTGAGATGGCTAAAGATGCCTTCTAAAAGCTAAGTAAGATATTAAGAAATAGGAAATCTTCGTTAGAAACATCGAAAATTGTGCTGAACTGCTACGTATTATCAATCGTTCTATAGACAAGTGACTGCTGAACAGTTTCCTCACATATGAAAAGGAAACTGGTACCAACAGAAATGTAGTTCTACTGAAGGATGCTGAGAATACCATGGACGGATCAGGTAAGCAACAAGGAAGTTTTAAGTAAAATGGAAACAAAAAGGAAACTTATAATTCGAATCGGAACGAGTTGGCTTAATAACAACGAAAGAAGGCTTGGAAAATTTGACACTCACAGGATATATTGAAGGCAAGGAGAGAGAGAATCAGAAAAGAGTTTCTATAAATGTATGTCAGATCAAGGAATGGGAGGAACAGTAACAAGAACAACATATATATATATATATATATATATATATATATATATATATATATATATATATATATATATATATATATATATATCCACATATATATATATATATATATATATATATATATATATATATATATATATATATATATATATATATATATATATATATATATAACAGTTAAAAATATTTCATCGGTGAAAATGGCTAAATGTATAGCCGAAAGCGCTCTGTAAAAGAACATTCGGACAGTTTTTATATAATTTATCATCTGAAAAGAAAAAAACTTATTGATCACATGAGAAATTGTATAAAAAAACTAAATCAAAGCACCTTGTCTTTCGTATTCAATGAAATGTGCATGAAAGAAGGATTTGCTGCCTAAATACTCAAAGATATATATATATATATATATATATATAAACAGACCACTTTAAGGTACCATTATAATAATTTATTTCAACAGAGCTCTTTTAAAGGGCTCCGGGTCATCAGATAGCACTTCCAAAAATGAAACGAAAAATGAAATGAAAATTGATGGTTAGTGTAAGTTTTTGTAATTTAACAGAGAGTGTCATAAGGAGTGGTTAGAGAGACATGGTAGAGTTTAAGGAGGGTTTAATTTAATATTTATCTCAATCATAATTAATATTGGGGGAGGAGGAGTGACCAGACCTTATATATATATATATATATATATATATACCCTTGTGAAAATTAATTGAAACAAAACGAATAATTCCGTTATTATTTATTTTTTTGTATTTTTACAATGAAACATGACCCTGTGCACATGTTAGTACTTCGTATAGCCATTCCAAGAAGTCGTTCCTTGGAGATTGACCACAGATTCTCGACTGGATTTAAATCAAGTGGCTTTCCAGGCCAGTCTATAATACTTTGATTTGTTCTCTAATATGGTATGCCAGTGTGATCGTGCAGCGTTACAATTTTCGCACACTCCCTTGGAGTAACGTCCATCGTAAACAATGCAAGTAGGACAACTAATCGACAGTCGAGACAATAGTCTGGGCGTGATGAAAATCTGATGCAATCAGGGATGACGCAATATATTTCAAGGCCAAACAAATTTCATCATACACATCGAAAATAGATTCATATTGCTGCACGCCACTCTAAATGGTCTAATCTGAGGAAACAATAGAAATCGATTACACCCTGTCACTCCAGCGGGTCTCAACCTGACCATATGGTGAAAGAAAGGAAACTAAGGCGGTTGTTTCAATTAATTTGCGCAAGGGTGTATATACTGAGAGATATATCAATATTTGCTCTTACAAGTCTGTATATTTATTGCATTTTCATTCACTTTTAGATTAAAATTATATTTTCCATAACGGAAATATTTCCTTCAGTCTAAAAACTCTTTCTATTAAAGAAAACATTGTAAATTGCTTTGCCCTTATGATTTCTGTTGATAGATATATAATTTGTAAAATTCGATATTATTTTTGGTTTGCGGGCAAGTGAATGCTGTAATGGATATCAAATTGGATAGTTGAATCGTCGTGAAGGCTTCAAGTTCTGACCACATCCCTTTCGTTCACTTTGCAATTCCATCAGTTTTTGGTCAAAGAGCGAGGTAGACTAAGTTCTATTAACTTAGGTTTTAGATTATCTACAAGATGGGAAACTCTACATACAAACTCCCATAAATATTAGGTTGGTGCAAAATAATGACGTAATAATGTCGTTTTTGACGTATTTTTAACGTCAAAAACGACATTATTGCGTCATTATTTTTGCACCAACCTAATAGCAGGTTCGGCTTGTTTATTTAACCCTGATAAGCCAACCATTCTCGGAGAGAAAACAACTTCATTTTTCCATAGAAGGCATTTCAATTTCAATAATAAGACTGAAGAATATGTAAAGGAGCATCATCAACCATGCCCTGAAGAGATATAGCATTTAAAAAAAAAGGACCCAATCAGTATGAAATGTTTAATATGCTTGCAGGTATCCAGTTTGTCGCAATATACAAATAATAGCCGGGCCCTCGTTTCCGAGCTGACCTGCCTGTTATAGCGGCTAGGTAGCCCCTGATACAGACACCTTCACAGGAATATTTCCATTTATTCAACACCTAACGAAGTCGCTTGTGGTTTATAACGAAACTGTGCTGAGATGTCATTAGTTACAGTTTCTGGAAAATAGTGTGATCAACAATTTGAACAAGGCTAGTATTCCCAAAATCCTCGGCCACGATGACATTTTTTTAAGCGTTTCACCCTAAGCAAGGCGGAAAGCCACTAGCATGCAAGGGGTTACAGAGAGTTGGAGCGAGAGCAAATAGGAGTGATAGAGGAAAGGATGGAGAGAAGGATAGGGGATAGATCAGGGCATCTGGAGACGTCGATTGACATTACATTTGAATAGTTGGAGATTATAGCTATCAGGGAAACAAGAAAAGGGGAGGGAGTTCCACAGACGAGAGGTGCGAGACATGAAGCTATTGGAGTAGAAGACGGCTACATTTAACAGTATCAACAGTGAAAGGGTGTGAGTGAGATGCCGGCCTAGTTGAATGCTTCAATTCATGAAGTCTGGGAAACCAGCGAAAGCAGCTCCTCGTAGCAGTTACCGTGAAAGTATTTGTATTCGTAAAAAAGACAGAGGGAGGCAACGACACGTCTGTGAGAGAGCGACTGCAGACGAGATTTCAGATCAGGACTAATTACATTGCATATCCGTCTCTGGATTTTATCAAGGGCGTTGAGACAAACAGAAGGGGCTCCCGACCATATATGGCAGCAATACTCCATGCAAGGACGAACGGTTGACTCTTGACTCTGTGTTCGTACAACCATCGATGGATTCGAAATGATACCTTCTCCATTACGTACCTGACAACTCCTGCTAGCCTCTAGCTTTACAAGAGCCAGATCAGACCGAAAATGGAATAATGCTAACACATCAGGGATGGAGCTGATCAGTCTTCCCTTTCCAGTTCAAAAGCATCTACGCGACCTTGTTGGTGATGAATTATTTCCACCCTGCAACCACTTTCCATAGACAAAACGTTGTAATTCTGTCGCTAATCTATTGCTATTTCCATCGAAAATGTACAGACGAACAATATTCTTTAGTTCCGCCGGATCTAAGCTTCATGGCTTGTTATAGCGAACTACCTTCATTCCCTTCGCATTTCATTGGTAAGACCTAAGTTCCACTCGAGCAGCTTGTTCCCACAAACCGCTGCTTCATGTTATCGACTCCTAAGAGGATTGCTCCACAATAAGCAAAATCTTAACCTGTTCATACCTAGGGTTAACTGTTATCTTCCCCATATATTCGCATAAAATGTGCCCCTTACTTCTTATGTTGTAACCATCTATCTCAAACGGTTCTTGGGCCTTTTACAGACGGAAAATTATTGTAAAAAGAACAAAGTTCAAGTTCAACACTATTTTTCTCGCAAGTCTTTGGGCAACAGGCAATTTCAACAGTGTTAGGATCACCTTCCTGACATAATGACCATGTTGAGATTTGAACCCGGACATTTCTAACCACTCAGTCACGCCACACGAAAAGCAGAAGTGATTAAAAATTTGACATTTATACAAAATGTCAGTTTTGCATATTTTGCCCAGCAAAAAAGAAAGTTTACTCAGCATCTTCCGGTATTCCATGGTGATCATCATGAAGTGTTTGTGAGACAACCATAGGGAAATATTCGGTGAGATTGGGAGCAGTGAAATTTTCGTATCATGCCCTTTTGAATGGAAACAGCAGAGGTATTTTTTTTAAAGAGTCATTCTCACGTTGCCTCTTAGATTTACAAACCACCTGTTTATCGCATTATCAGTGAGTCACCTCTTTAAATGTTTATGTCTTTTACGTATTTCTGTTTCCGTTTGAAGGTGTTAGAGATGGGATGTTAATATACCACGATATTGTCTGAGAGGACAAGTGCTTGAGGTCTTTTGCCAGGTGATGGGATGAATTACTATCGATACACAAACCCTGTCCAACCCGAACACCGTCACATACCCTACATATAGCTCATTTGTGACGTCCTTAATTGGAGAACTTTTTTTTTAAGAAATAGATTTTTTTTCTTTATTTTTATTGCGATTGAATTTACAAACTGAAGGTAAAAGAAGTTGCAATCTGCCTCTTCTCATTAGGTTTGTATCAGTATTGATTTTTTTGCAGTCTCCCCACTCCCAAAAAATTCTACAAACAAAAAAAAAAAAGGAAAAACTAAAGAAGTAAATAACTGAATAGCAACAGGAGTGAAGTGGGAGGGCCAGAGACGAGTGGCAGGAAAGAGAATGGCCTGTTGGCCGCCCAAGATAAAGATTAATGCCAAGGCCCCTAATCACGTGAACTAACGAGGGAAAACGCACGGCTATCGTGATGGATGGGTTGCATAATTTGGAGCTGCTTTAGTTCAGGACCCACACTTGTTTCTCCTTCAATAATAATGGTTGCGGGGAGAGAGGGAAGAGGAGGAGATGCTGAGAGTAAGGAGGGTAATAGTGCGAGGGGGAAAGAAAGAAAGAAAGAAAGAAAGAAAGAAAGAAAGAAAGAAAGAAAGAAAGAAAGAAAGAACGTGTAGGAATGTTTAGCAGGAAATGAATAATAAACATTAAGGACAGAGAAATAATGGAAAGGGGAAAAGAAAGGAGGAAAAATGTAAAAAAAATGTTGAATGAATAAGGCAAAGAAGAAAAAGAGAGAAAAACAAAGAAGAAGAAGAAGAAGAAGAAGAAGAAGAGACAACGGAAATAATAGGGATAACAAATAAGAAAGAAGATAAAATAATAGGAAAAGAGAAGGGGAAGGAGAAATAAAAGAAAAAGATGAAATAAATCATAGAAGAAGGGGGAGAAAGAAAGAAAGAAAGAAAGAAAGAAAGAGAAGAAGAAAGAGAAGAAGAAGAAATAAATCATAGAAGAAGGAGGAGAAAGAAAGAAAGAAAGAAAGAAAGAAAGAAGAAAGAGAAGAAGAAGAAATAAATCATAGAAGAAGGAGGAGAAAGAAAGAAAGAAGGAAGAGAAAGAAAGAAAGAAAGAAAGAAAGAAGAGAAAAAAGAAATAAATCATAGAAGAAGGAGGAGAAAGAAAGAAGAAGAAAAAGAAGGAATAAATCATAGAAGAAGAAGGAGAAAGAAAGAAAGAAGTTGAAGAAGAAGATGAAATAAATCATTGAAGAAGGAAGAGAAAGAAAGAAAGAAAGAAGAAGAAGAAGAAGAAGAAAAAAAGAAGAAATAAATTCTGAGGGACAAAGAAGCGTGAAAACGATGAAAAAGTGAAAATGACGAACGAAATACGCGAATGAAAGTGTTATCGAGGAAAGTGTAAAAAAAGAAAATGAAAACTGTAGATTATGATGGGTAGAAGTAAAAAAAAAGAAAGTGAAAACAAGAAAAAGACGGTGAAGCAGAACTTCACAAGAAAAAAAAAGAGATAGAAGGGGAAAAAAAGTAATTCGTATAAAATTATAAACAGGGAAAAGACGAAATAAATAAAGAAATGGCCAATACTTGTTAAGAGAAAGCGAGAGAAAGAGAGAGAGAGAACAAAAAAGAGAGTTTAAAACGTATGGTGCACACTTCTTTGCTGAACACGGAAAAATGTGACCGGCGTGTCATTACAGCATAGGCCAAAAAGAAAAAAAAAACCCGGATGTATGAGAGCAGATGTCGGAACGGGTGCATACAAATGGCGCATTTGTATCGAGGTTCACGTGAAAGAATTATCGGCTCTACGGTCAGGGCTGCAAGGGAAAACGTCGACTCCGGTGGAAACAAGCGAAACGAAACAAACAGAAAATATAGAAAAGCGCCAATCGATACGGCCAGGTAGGAAGAAGATAGCAAGAAGAAAGCAAAGTAGAAACGGACGAATCGGCGTTTCGCTTTGTCAAGGAGAAAGAACGAAATGAATGAACTGCAGTAGTGAGGAATACAAATGTCATGTGAAATATTCATATCATTACCCTTGTATAAGTCGATCTCATGACGTGATTGATATTTAATTTTTAAAATAAGTAATGTTTCATATATTATGTACTATAGGCAAACAATTTTGGGTAAACCTCTAGATGTCGAAGATACATTTTAAAATCAAATTTTGCATACCTTTTTCCAAGATTATTTACTAGAAATTTGACTAGATGGTCTGCCTCTTCCTAGAGGTTTTTTTTTTTCAATATTCAATAATAATAGTAACCGGCTACTTTCCTTATTACCTATATATTTGCCCATATCCTCCCTTCATAAGATCGCACGGGCGTTACGCAAAGACAGCATCTCATAATTAATAGATCATTTCGTTTTGAAAAAGGACACATGGCACAGTGGATAAAGGCGTTGGTTAGATCCAGTGACAGGACCCAAAGAGCGTGAGTTCAATACCTGGTTAAGGCAGTGGAGAACGTGAAGAGTGGCATTAAAAAGAGATAACTGATAAACATGTCACGTGGCACTAGAATAGTCCACCCCAGTGAGCGAAATAAAAGGTTCATTCGATATTCCAACCACCTGAAGAAGACCGGAGCGTACAATGGCTGAAACGTTGTAATAAATATGACGACAACGATAAGGAAAATAGTCCGAATAATGTAAATAGTGCACAAATACCTCATTTCAGAAATATAGACAAAAACTTGTCAATTTCAAATCATTTCATTTGTACCCCCTTACTTCTTAAAATAATGACCAACATTCATATATATGATTGTTATTGTAATATTTTATTAAAATTGTTAAGCTCAAATATTTAACGATGCAATAGGGGGTTTTCTACGGATATTTTATTGTCATAGAAATCGCTTTGAGCTCATTAAGAATTAAGATTCATCACAAAATTCAAATAGAAAAAGCATGAAATTTTCAGGGGTATTTCTTGTAATAGATATTTCAAATAAAAAAAAGAAACAAAGAATTGAATTGCTCTTTTAATTAACATTGAATTGCCAGAAGAATTTTATCTCATATTCGCAGACAAGGACAGGGCATTCTAGTTGTCAAAAACCAAATTAACCCATTATCAAATAAAATTCCATTTGAAACGGTTCTTTTTTTTATCTAAGCTATCTAATGGCAATCTTAGCGATGGCGAATTTGAAATTTTCGGTAACCCAATCTCTATATATTGGACGACATGCGTTAATGGGCTTTATCATTCTAGCTTTATAGGATTTAATTAAACCAAAGAAGGCTTACAAATTATTAATCGCAGAGATGGCCAGAAATTTTGGGGCTTATAGTGTTTGTCCATTATAAGATCGACTCTTGAAATTTTAAGTCTTAAATCATTAATACAAATAAGGCACAAGAGTAATTCTTTGGTAAGTTGTCTGGAAACAGCACCAGAATGGAGTTCAACCATGATCTGATATAAAAAACACCATCTATTTACTTGACATCATCACCTTTGAATGTTTAAATATCTTCATTACGAAGCATGGATTAAATTTTAATCTCATATATATAGAGTCAGTAAAGTCTTGGTGAGAATCCGACGCAATGTTAAATATATAAGATTAATTTAAAAAGCTGTTATTTTGATATGTTTCGCCGATTAAACAACTTCATCAGAAAAAAAAACTGACACTGATTGTGCAAACATATCAAAATAAAAGCTTTGCCAAATTGTCTTGTATATTTACTATTTATATTGAGGCCAACAGATTATTAATGTAAAGTAAAATTTATTAAATAACTCTTTAAGAAAGAAAAACTGAAAGGCCTTCCGTCTCGATGGGTGCCACGTCTAATATTTTCTGTTTTTAGGATCGCAGCCAAATAATATCAGCTTGAGGTCGATTATAATGCTAAGTGTGAAAATATCGAAATATTATTTGATTTATTTCTCCCAAGAGTCATGGCTCCTGTAATACAATAAATATGATAAGCGGCTCTGAGCTAAAAACCGCCATAAAAACCACAGAAATAGTGTCTGCTCAATTTCTGAACATTAGCTGCTGAATAAACTGCACTGCTTTTCATTAATATGGCTACATATTACACTTTGCTCGTTTACTGGTGAATATCTTTGAATTAAAGAACAAATATGTATAAATCACTTCCTCTCTATTACGCAATTCTGATTAAAATACATATAAAGCCTTGTTTGACAACCGGTCTAGAAGGAGGACAACTCTAGACCCATGCGAAGTGGGATAGGAGGAAAAACCTAATTACTTCTGAAACTGAATCAGCCAGACCCATGATGCATGTTCTTCGTATACACATATCAGACTAGGTGTCATGATGGGTACACTGTAATTCCTATGTGTGTATCCCAGCCCCACTTTTTAAGTGTTCTTCTCTCTCTCACATAGTAGTAGTAGTAGTAGTAATAAAGTAGTAAATACACTTGCTCAACACCTGAAATGTCTCTCGTATGCTTCTGATTTTAATTTATTAGAGGTTTTGCCTTTAAATATTTTGAGATTTTTATATCCCGAGGTAATTTTGTAGGTCCCCGCTGTGAATATGTTGTATTGTGGTACATGTAGGATTGAATGGTGATGGATGAGTTCTTGAGTGGTAAATGAATCAATTGTATTGGATGAATGGGTCGTGATCGGGATTAACTAGGACTAGGATAGTTAGCGAATATCAGTCTCCCCCACTTCCCCTTTGGCCATGTGCCACAATTATTGTACATTTACAATAATAAATAATTTATTAGTAAAGCGTAAAAATTCCTCCTTGGAGGGATTTTCAACACATTCTTATCATCTCTCAGTTGCATCTCTGTCTTTGGGCAGAGTGTGCTCAGGGGCTTCTCTGTCAAAGGACAGAAGGGCAACTGAAAAAAAAAATTGAAACTGAGAGGTGCCCAGGCCTGGAGAACAACTGCACGAGGCCGAGCCCTCCGATTGCACAAGAGGTAGTGATCGGTGCGCGCACCGAGGCCAGTGCAACAGACGGTTGCGGGGGTTGAGGGCAATTTTTGTTCCTTACCCGGGTGTACGCGCTCGGGTCGTCACTTTAAAAAGACCTTGTCTCACATCTCGTCCTCGTGGGGAAACGAGTAAACACCATAAATATTTTATTAGAAGTGTTAATATGTAAATGTTTTATCTTTAGAAATAAATGCCCCGTTCAGTACCCCATATTTCCCTGTATATCTCTATTCATGAATGAGGCCGGAGTAAGAACATCGTGGCCGGGTTTCAAGTGCTTTGTTCTTTTAAGTTTGAACGATCAAGGCAGCTGAGGCATCTTGAAAGTCACATCTAGAGACTAAGGAACATCCCCCCTCAGTTGTGGACTGTGTGGACTGGGTTAACCGACCTGAATTTCAAGGTATTTTCTCTGAAACTTTTTGGTCATTGACAGATTTAAAATAAGAATTCGGTACTTTCCCCTCCCAAATTCAGCTGTCCACTTTTGCACTGTTGATAAAGGTGGAGCATCATGCCATACAGTAACAACCATGTCGCCTAAACCCTTTTTCTGCAGGTACTTGATAACACCATGATATAATGGTATATGAATACACCTGTGTTACCCCTCACTGGAATATGATTGGCTGGTGTCCGTCATAAATACAGACGGACGTGTAGGTGAGTAAGAGCCTTAGTCTGAGAACTAAGTCTATAACGACGCCGATTGGACTACGCCATTGATCTACACTTCTTACCTGCGACTACGACGCGTACCAGTCGATTACTGCTACCATATTCTACTTGGTTATAGTAGCCAAAACCATTTAGCTACTTCGTTTAAATATATCCCTTTGCTGGACTTATCACACCACGATGTCAAATATTGTCCATTTTAAGGAGAAGTCGCTAAAAGTTACATTTGAAGTCTTCTTTGAACAGTCAGATGTCAGTTTACTTGGAAATAACGCATTTATTAATAGAAGGACTTTGATAGTAATGCAGGTAAAAATTCACAGCATCAACCTACGACCATTTCAGCTCACTCTCGTAATGTCCATATATGCTATTTGATTTTTGCAACTCCTCCAATTTTATACTGTTCAGCGACTATCTTCAAAAGGGCCACACCATCACTGGAGAGTACTATGCCAAATTGCTGAGGTACTTACAAAAGACTATCAAAACCAAACACCCAGGAAAACTGACGAAAGGATTTTTTTTTCCATCAGGACAATGTCCCAGCACACACGTCCTTGGTTTCAATGGCTTCTATGCAGGAATTTGGCTTTGATGTGGTTGATCACCCTCCCTATTCTCCTGATTTGACCATCATCTGTCCCCCAACATAAACGAACAATTGGCTGTGAACTAATATCGCAGTGATAATGACGTCATATCTGCTGTTGACGACATTTTTGGCCAACAGGAGGAGCAGTCTTTTTAAAGTCATATATTAATTTATATTTATATTATATTGAGGCAATTGGATGTCTAGTCACACTGATGAGCTGTGATACAGCGAAACAGTCTGTCTGTGGTTGACAATATATATATATATATATATATATATATATATATATATATATATATATATATATATATATATATATATATATATATATATATATATATATATGTATATATAGTAAAGGTAGCAAATCCGTTGGTATATAAGCCAAGTGGGTCATAGGACACTATTTACATTGCTCGGACTATCAGCCTCATCTTTGTTGCCATACTTATCACAACGTTTCAGCCGTTGTACGCTCCGGCCTCCTTCAGGTGATTGGAATGTCGAATTGAACCCTTTATTCCGTTCGCTGGTGTAGACTGTTCTAGTTCCACGTGCCTTGTCTAATGGATGTCAGTTATCAGTTATCTCCTGTTAATTCCTCTCACTGGATCTAACTAACGCCTTTATCCACTGAGCCATGTGTCCTTGAGCGTACAACGGACGAAACTTTGTGATAAATATGGCAACAAAGATGAAGATGATAGTCCGAGCAATGTAAATAGTGTACATAATACCTCATCTCAGAAATATAGACAGATACTGATGGATCATAGGAATATAGAATATTAAAAGTG